AGAAGAACATATCAGTTCTCATTAACTTTCTAATTTATTGCTCTTTTGAGACAAGGTTTTTGTAGCTCAGGCTGGCCTCAAACTCAAGCCAATGATGACCTTGAATGGTGGTCCTCCTGCCTCTGACTCCAAAATTCCGAGATTGCAATTGTTCACTGCTGCATCAGCTTGGTCATATTTCACCATATTTATTCCTACTAAGCTCTTCTTATGAATTTGGTCACCAAGGAAACATGGGTTCAAAGCCGTGGAGTATGTTCAGTAATGTTTGGCAAAGCAGATTCCAGATACACTTATCCAAGAAGTCAAAACGCCTCCCCCCTAGAGCAGGTGATGTCAATTTAATTTTGCTCTTATTTCTCTCTTGGTTGTGATTCCTCATACCTTAATACCAGGATCCTATAGGAAAAGAAAACAGGACTCAGAAGATTTATCATATAAATCATAGAGATGTTTCCTTATCTATCATCTATTAATCACCTATAAATCATTATCTATCTATCTATCTATCTATCTATCTATCATCTATCTATCATCTATCTATCATCTAATCTATCTATCATATCTATCTATCATCATCTGTCTCCACATTTGTATACCTATTTTTATATCTGTGTCTCAAGCCCTATTAATTAGCTGTGTTGTTTTCATCATCTATCTATCATCTATCTATGTATCTATCTATCTATATCTATCATCTATCTATCTACCATCTACCTATCTCTTATCTATCATCTATCATCTATCTATCTATCTATCTATCTATCTATCTATCATCTATCTATCATCTAATCTATCTATCATCTAATCTATCTATCATCTATCATCTATCTATCATCATGACTTGTCTGTCACCCAAGAGAACCAGTAGTATAATTCCTTTCTGAGGCTGGAGGCAGTGGTATTAATTCCAGTCTGAGTCCAAGTCTGTGCAGAAGGCTGATGTCCCTGCTTGAAGACAGAGAGAGGAAATGCTGTCTGTCTGTCTGTCTAATCTATCTATCTTTCATCAATTTTCTATCTTGAAAAATCTACCATCAGCCATCATAATTGACCATCTATATAGTAGTCTGTCAATCTGTGATTCTTCCATATCAATCTGCTAATCTCCTTGTCACTGCATCTACTGACTTAAATCACCATTCCTTTAGATACATGTGCAGATACTGTATTTCCATGGTTCTGCCATAAGTGAAACTCTCTTCTTAGGCTGTTTTGTGTCACTTTAACAAAATAAATGAGGATAGGGTACTTTGTATCTATCTATCTATCATCCATCCGTCTGACTGTCTGTCTGTCTAATCTATCTATCTTTCATCAATTTTCTATCTTGAATAATCTACCATCAGCCATCATAATTGACAATCTATATAGTAGTCTGTCAATCTGTGATTCTTCCATATCAATCTGCTAATCTCCTTGTCACTGCATCTACTGACTTAAATCACCATTCCTTTAGATACATGTGCAGATACTGTATCTCCATGGTTCTGCCATAAGTGAAACTCTCTT